TTGTTAAAGCAGTGTTGCTGTTGTAAAGTTATACAGCTACAGTTGTGTTGCTGGGTTTTATAGCAGGTTTGATTTTTTATCTTCCTTATCACTCAGTATTTACAGGATTTCACTGTACTGTATTCAGCAGGTGTAATGAAATCGCGTTAAAAATGTGTATGCTTCATTTACATAGCCTTCCTTATATGTTATCAGCCCATATATGGGTTCATTTGAAAGCTTGGAGTGTCTTCTTTACAAAGAATACCATTCCTTTTGGTTTTTATATTCATAAAGCAGTAAAATTAAGCTTAGAAATGTATTCGTCCCACACACAAATTTCTGCCTAACCATTGCGAATAATTTTTACGAAGAATGTGTATTTTATATATTTTTCTATATATTAAGTCATATATCACAAGAAAGCTCTCATTCTCAGGAATTTGACGATGTAGATTTCATTGTGTGACAATCCAATTATGACAAAATACCGATCTCGACAATCATTGTGGCAAATGCAGTCTGATGTGTCTTAAGTGAATGAGAACAGCTGAAAAAAGAAATCGGATGCGTATCATTAGGCTATATTGGATCCATGCATCAGGTCTTAAAGGGGCAGCAGACTAATAATACCTGATGCTGTCATTATGCTCATCAAACCACAAAACACTTTTTTGACAGATGAATCTATTTTTTTATTTATAGTGAACACTATGCAGTTTTATTTTACACTTAATTATATGTGCTTATATGGGCTCCTTATATCATTTGGTTCTTTGGTGTCCTTTTGGAGTTTCTAAGTGTCCTTTTTTGGAAACATCTAAATTTATCTTGAAAAAATCTTGCAAGAAAATATAGATTTTTGAGAATCACCCTTCAGTCTTTTGGTTTACTTTGCTGGATATAGCAAATGACTTGTTCGGCATTGCTGGGAACGCCCACAAAAACGTCATAACCGTTTATGCCGAGGGGGAAAACAAACCATTCGAATTAACGCGCGGAGACCTTGTTAGGCGCTTGATCTTTACTTTTTATGATGATTTCGATTGATTTTTGCTTGGTGCAATGCCTAAAAGTTGCTGTGTGTACCTCTAATAAGTTAAAAAACCTGATCTGACGATGTATATGACTGATACACTGATCTGTCGTTAGTCTCGTCCCCCTGCACCGCAACCCAGTTCTGATGGGGCTTACAATAACCCTCCTTCGCATCGCAATCAAATAAATCTCACTCCCTGATATTTTGTGCTGTCATAATCTATTAAAACATTTATTTCATATTATTATACACAATCCCTTACGAAAATTAGCAATGGTATTACTATAGTAAAAGTATAGTAGGGTAACCATGTTTTTTTTTTTGCCTTTTTATTACCAATTGCAGCCTATAACCACAGTTTTACTACAAATACCATGGTAAAACTATGGTTAGTGTAGCAAAACATGTTGTTTTTACCATGGTTTAACTATAGTAACCAATAACCATGTTTTTTTGTATTTTATATACATATTTCCACGTTATCTTTATTTTAAGGCATGTATTTGTGAAAATTATTAGGCAGCCGCAGCACACACCACATAGAATAACGCTGTGCATTTCAAGGCACTTCAGTGGACCTTAATGTTACCTGTTTTGTCAATGTTAAAAAACGTTTTAATATATAAATAGGAAAGTATGACAGGCTTTTACTCAAGTCTTTATCACTTTATTAAAATTAAGCAAAACAAAACAACAAATGTTTACTTTCACAAGCCGTCTCGTATAGGCTTGTAGTGAAGTAGCCTAAGCTGTCTCTTGCTCAATTAGGTAACAAAAAATGTCGGGAAACGACACCTCTGGCCATTCCGTTGGGTCGTTTGTCCAGTCACAGATACCGTACGGACAGTCCAACCCAATACGGCTCAGTTTTTATACGTATGTTGCTCTGTTGAGCAGCAGAAATAGTTTTATGTAGGCCATTCTGAGTCAACACCATGCTTTTCCAATGAGGGGGAAAAGGACTGTTTTCCCCCACGCCGACTCCGCCTGCACAGCTATGACGCGACACCAATCAAGTCTATTTGTAGCATTGTTCTCTTGTATTTATCTATGCTTGTAATTTGTGTAGCGTATTTGTTCTTATTTTTACTGGCTGTTCACTTGTCTCTTTAATAATGTTTGAACTTTCTTAGGCTAAGCGTTTTTGCTGTGGTATCGTACTTATGGAAAGCAAAGTTACATAGATTTTTTTTCTTGCTGATCCGAAAAACGATCCGTGGCTCAAAAACCATAAAATGATCCGAACCGTGAGATTTGTGATCCGTTGAACTACTATATTGTACTGATTTTGACTTTTAGGCACTTTAGACAATTGTTTTGATATATTTGTATGAAATTTAGGTTTGTTAAATCTCGGGTATTTAAGTCATTTTAAGATAAATAACATTCTGTGATAAATTGCAATGAGGTGGTTGTTTTGCAACAAGGTGGACACAGTTCTGTTCATAACAGTACACCTGCTGGTCAAGAAGTGATAGGTACAATCAAAAAAGGGAGAGACCGAGATATTGGGGAAAATGAAGAAAAGTAAAAAGGGAAGAGAAGGTGTGGTTCAAGAGACAACCTTTAATTATTTTTCACGGCCCCAGACCAAGGATTTAGACCTTTTTATGTGATGGCCATTTAAATAATAGGGTTATCTGTGGTTTCAGAATTTGTAGTGGGTCAATAGGCTATATACAGAAAAAAGAGGCCAAAATTGTACCTTTTGGGGTACAACAGCTTGTCACCAGAGCAGTACCCTTAAAAGAACATCTTTGTACCTTTTTTACCCCTAATAGGTACATATTAGTACCTCATAGTAATTCGTACACATACGGTACTAATATTTACCTATTAGGGGTAAAAAAGGCAAAAATACGTCCTTTTTAAAGGGTTAGTTCACCCAAAAATGAAAATTATGTCATTAATTACTCACCCTCATGTCGTTCTAAA